AAGATCTCCTCCCTCACCCCCTGGTATCTATGGAGCCATTGTGGAAAAATTTGAAGAAGAAATCGTTCATCCATCACACATTTTGGGCTATCATACTGTTGATATTTTTCTGATGTATACGTGTATGTATTCATATCTCCTTGTCCAGAATGAGATCCTGAGGACAGGAGCCCCGTCTGAGTTATTCAGTATCCAGCATGCTAGAACCCTGCCTGGCTCGCAGCAGGTGCTCGGTAACTATGATTTGAAGGGCTGAATGAATAGCTGGAGGAATGGGGAGCTACAGTTCAGACTCATTCTTACTGGGCTGTGGTTTGTTTGACTCAGTTTTAATGCTGCTTATGTTACTGTGGGGGAGGCAATTATATCTCCTGTGAGGCCAGAAATTCCACCACTGGAGCTATGGGCTGAGTGCCACTGAGGGAGGACCAGCATTAATTTCCTACTGTAACATCTTTCTTTTAAAATGCAGATCAATGAGAGTACAAATGATTCTGTGATATTGTTTGTGTTTCTAAGGTAAAGTTGAAGTTTAGTTGGGCCCTTCATCCAGGGCGTGTGCTGTGTACCCTTACATCGTGCCCACTCGGTGACAGCTTACCAACTCCCCTCCGGCCCCCCAATCCCTCCTCCCCCCCTCCCCACATGAATACACTTGTGTTTCTCTCTCAGGTGGGTATGTAGTTGTTTTTCTGTTGGTTTCCTATTAGATTGAGTACACTGGATACTTGCATTTCCATTCCTGTGATAATTTACTAAGGAGAATGTGTTTCAACTCCATCCAGTTGAATGCACCTACTTTACCATTTTTACGTCAGTTAGCTTACGACTCCTTCTCTCCTTCTGCCGACTTCCTTCTCAAAGGGGCAGAGGGATTGCAGGAGATCCTTCCTCCCACTTCCTAAGGGCCCCTTGACAGAGCCTTGTGCATCTTCAAGGCCTGTGAGACAGTGATGCTGTGAGAATGTGAGGTGCTGTGGGTGTTCTCACAACTCGGACAAGACCCCAGGGAACTGCTTCTAGGCTCCTGTTCTGCATTATTACAATTATGGAAGGGACCAGGTCACGGTGGCTCATGCCTGTAATCCCAGCACTCTGGGAGGCCAAGGTGGGTGGACTGCTTGAGCTCAGACCAGCCTGACCAAGAGCGAGACCCCATCTCTACTAAAAACAGAAAAAACTAGCTGGGCATTGTGGCGGGCACCTGCAGTCCCAGCTGCTCAGGAGGCTGAGGCAGGAGGATTGCTTGAGCCCAGGAGTTTGAGATTGCTGTGAGCTGTGACTCCATGGTACTCTACAGAGGATGACAAAGTGAGACTCTGTCTCAAAAAAGTTATGTATGTCCCTTGAAGGGATCCCAGGTGCATTTCTAGTCCCTCTCATTGTATTAACCTCTCAGATCTTGATGTATCTGCCCTGCCAGCAGGGCTTCATGACATCAGAGTTTGTCAGATTCCAATTCCGTACTGCAGGTGAGCGCTGGCCCTGAGGGCAGACGGGTTTACAACCTGAATTCATCACTCACTGGCAGTGTCACCGTGGACAAGTGAATTTATTTGTCTGAGTCTCGGTTTCCTTGTTTGCAAAACGGAGGTCAATATATGCCTTTCAGGATTTTGGAGGGGAGGAGGAATAAAATAGATAATTATGAAAATTGCTTAGGTAGTGTGTGCCTTGCAGTCGTCACTCAGTTTGTGTTGGTTTTTGTTGCTGCTTGTCACCACCCCTGTGCCGAGGCACCTTATTTTGAAGGATATGCCTGGCTGGTTTTATATCCTTGAGTGATTAGTCATTTGGGAGGAATGTAGTGATCACCCTGTGGACCTCAGAATCTGTAGAACTGTCCGCGTTTGCCTCAGCAGCCTCTCCCACGGGGCTGGCAAGGTGGTCCTCCTTATTTGCAAGTCTGATCAAACAGAAGGAAAGTAAGGAGGACGCAGCAGGTTGGCTTATCTGTGGTTCAGAAACTAGGGGGGTTGGGCTTGACTGGCGACTCTACAGGTGGCCAGTGACAGTTGGGGTGATGTCTCGCTCTCTCCCGTGAAGGACAACAATGTAACCGTTTGTGATCTTGTGATAATGGCTCCCGCCCCCCCTTGCAGGTCTCAGGATCATTACCAGTGGTCTGCGATCTCGTCTGCATCTCCTTTTACTATAGCTACTTGTTGTCGCATCTTTGCCAGGTCCTTTTGAAAATTTGAGACGCGGACGAAGGAGTGGAACTTCAGGATGCCTCTCTCCTCTTGGCGCCTGCAAGGTTGGACGAGAACGAGGGAGAAGAGTCAGATCCTCTTGTCCTGTGGTCATCACAGCTGCCTGTGGAGAGCTGACTGAAACCCCTGTTCCTTCATTGACCATCTCAGATACCCTTTCATTTAGGGCTTGGCATCTACGAGAGGAGATAGCTCTCTCCAAGGTCCTGAAGCACTATTTCTTTGCCAAATCTTATTCATTAGCTTTCCTTTTCTTCCTACTTCTGATTGTATTTGCCCAACTTTCTCCTCTGTAAAATAGGGGATAGCAATGGCTCCTGCCTCTCAGAGGTGAGGATTAAATTATGTAATGTGTGAAGTGCCCAGGCTCATCGCGGACACACGGTGGGTGTTTAACTAATGTTGGTTCCTCCCTTCTCCTTACCACTTTGTGCATCTGTCCTATCTCTCCAAGGAGACTTCAGATTATTAGTGTCACCACATCACTCCCCTGCACACAACATTCGATGGCTTTCCGCTTTGCTCAGAATAAACTCCTCTGAGTAACTTGTTCTTCAGGCCCTGGATTGTTCCATTTCTACAACATTTTCCACCTTTGTTTCTGACTTTCCCATCCCTTCTTTCTTAGAATTTTATGATTTGGCTTGTGATCAAAGTCTCTGAGATACAGTCCAACATTCACAGCTCAGATAGTAAGGCCTTTTATGATCTAGCCTATGTCTGGCTCTTTGGTTACTTTGTGGGCACTCTAAATCCCAGCCACACCTGAGACTCCTAGCAGTTCCCTGGCTCACTGTGCCCCTTGTGTCCTCTGGAACCTTGCTGTGGCTCTTCCCGCATACTTTCTGGGTATGATTCTTTAGGTCTGAATTCTGCCTTTACTACTTAGCTGTTGGGGGATCTTTGATAGAGACATCTCTGAGCTCCCTTTTATCATCTGTAAAATGGGTCTAATAATAACACCTTACCCTATAGGATTGTTGTGAAGAGTAAATGACATATAAATACAAAGCTCTTACATCCTCAACTGGTACATAGTAAGAGCCCTAGAAATGCCATCTGCGTTTATGAAACTAAGAATGTCTCCTTTCCAGGAAGACCTTTCTGAGGGCTGCCCTGGGACAGGTGGGACTTCCGTTTTGTGTTCCCTTAGCCTCTGCTCTCTCAAATGCTGGATCTCACCATCCTATGTGCTAACTGCTTATTTACTTCTCTGTGTCCCCCATTAGCCTGAAGCCCCCAGAGGAAGGGGCAGGGGCTAGTCTTCTCTAACCCCCTGGCTCAGAACAGCCAGCCAATCATTTCTGTAAGGATGAAGGTGCAAAGAATCATCACACACCCTTTGTTGAATGGGTGAGCTCACTGTAATCAAGGAATAGTCCAGAAAGTGTGTGTGTGTGGGGGAGTTACCGGGATGCTATATGAGAAAAGAAAAGCTTCTGGTAGCTTTCTGGCACTCTTAAAATCAAGTTCCAAGTTCTGCCTGGCATTCGTGGCTGTGCACGAGGCAGCCCTCACCTATCTCTTGTCCCTCCTCTTCAAATTCTCCCTGTTCTTTCTTGCCTTGGGACTTCCCATGCACATTTCCTGCTGCCTGGAATGTCCTCCCACCTTCTCACCACAATGCCAGCTCCTTATCCTTCAGGACTTATCCAAAGTCACCTCCCAGACCATACAACCTACATTAGGTCTCCATGGTTTCCTTCTCTCTCTCTCTTTCTCTCCCTGGCCCCACTGTCTGTCTTACCACCCGGTTCCCTTCCTATATGGCAATGATTGTAATCTGTACCTCTGTATTAACAGATACAATCATTTTGTTTCCAGAAGACTGTATGCTCCAAGAGGGCAGGGAACAAGTCCTTCTTGTCCTTGCTCTAGCCCCAGCACGTGGCACCCAGGTGCCAGATAAATGTATTTGGAGTGGATCGATATATGTGTGTCCTTACTTCATGAGGATTTCTATCTTGTCCTGCAGGCAGAAACCAGCCTCCTGGGCCACGCTGTAAAACTTAGCCCTCATGGCGTCACATACCCCACTCTTGCAGAGGATGAGGTCACGATTATTGCGGCTGTAGACACAGAGAAGGGCTTGGGGTGGAGTGAAGCCCAAGGGACACCTTGGCAACCTCACGGGTCCCACTCTGGCCTCCGGAGCCCCTGCAGGTGCTCTGCAGTGAGGATCCCTTGTACCCACCAGGGTTCTCTATCCTTATCTGGATCCTCCCTCAAAATCCCCCTGGATACAGAGGGAGGGTGTCTCACAGGGGCACAGCTGGTCACCTGGGCCCAGCAAATGTTAAGGTTAGGGAGATAGAACTTGGATCTAGAAGATTCAGCCTCACAATCCTGCTTTACCACCTCTTAGCTATGTGGCCTTAGGCAAGACATTTCATGGGGGAGCTTTCTGCTTGCTTCTCTGTAAGCAGGGACTGGTTTTGAGGAATGAGCAATGTAGTGCAGGCAGAATGCTCCTCACAGTGCCTGGCACAGGGAGGAATTTCCTACTGTTGTCTGCATTGCTGCCTAGCATCTCGGGCGATAAGCACATTACGGTAAGGATCCCTTGTCCTTTAGCATGGCCAGGCCTCGAGGAGTCTGGCATGCATTGTTGGGTCATTTCCACAGCCCAGGGAATCAGAAGGTAAGGTCACCATAGTCCCTTTTGCCCTGTTCCTTTCATTGTCCCCCTCCCCTTGCTTACTTTTTTGCCTTCTGGCTGTCTCCACTGGTACTGCTGGATTTATCACTGAAACACAAAGGGATGGTTTCAAGTCACTCAGACACCACTTTTCTAGACAAAGGTGCCTCCAGGGCCCCATAACACCTGCTAACCTCTGGGATGCAGGCAAGGGAGGTGGTTCTAATCAAGGCACCGGTCACTGAACTCAGTGTTTTCTCCCCCCTCTTGGTCTTTGTTCCTGCCATCCATCCCCCTCACCTGGAGGGTCCTCCTTGTTGATATTCTGCCTGCCCAAATCAGATCCTGTTTTATGCTCTATAGCAAGTTCTGCATGCTGTCCAGACTGTCCAGTTCGACTTTGACCCTCCTCTGCATATTGTTAGGATTACATATTTTCTGAATCTCAGTTTCATTTGTATGAACTTGGTTCCTCCACCTGGAGGATGAGTTACCCACACTTAGCACTGGGCCATGTGCAGATTTGGTGAAGGGATGGCTGAGTCTCCCAGCCCCGTTGTCTTGCGTGTCCTTGACCCAAGACTGCTTATTCCTCCAAGGAGTTCCTTCTGTAAGCAGGGCCCATGAGCTGAACACCCACTCTATTTTGGAAACAGGCAGAGCTAGGTGCAGAGCCCCCCTCAGCAGTAGTTTCAGCCACACTGGTCTTTGCACAGACCCTGTAAGCTTCCTCCTGTCTTGGGCCCTTTGCACCTGCTGTCCCCTCTTCTTGGAATGCTGTTCCTGCCTTTTCCACCTCATCAGCGAGCCAGTTCTTTTTTGTTCTTCAGGTGTCAGCCTAAATCTCAAACGTGGTGTTGGTGAGAACCCTGGTGCTACAAGTTCACCCAACCCTCCCTACTTTTCCTTTGGAGTACGTGTCAGTCATGGCTTAATGGCTAACTGGGGGCTTATTTGAGAAATGCTTGCCTCTGTCATTAGACTAGTGATTCTTAAGCGTGAGTAGAATTCCAGGGGTCTATGCATGAAGGTGGGAAAAAGTTTGCATCTTTAACCAAAATGGAAATCACAGGTATTTGCATATCACATTACTGTTGGGGGAGATATTTTCAAAAATCATTTATATTCAACACTAATCCAAAATTACAGTACTTATTAGACCTGCTGTTAAGTCTGGCTGTATAATGCCTTGCCAAAGGAGCTCATAGATTACTGTATTCCAAAATTTGATTGTAATATAGCAATTTGTATTACTAGAAATTTCTGAGTAATCTTTTGTAATTTATTGTATGCATTTAAAAACATTTTTCTAAAAGGAGTCCATAGACTTACTCAGATTGCCAAACGGGTTTGTGGCACACATAGTGTTACAGCTTTGACCCCCACCCTGAGATCCAGGAGGGCAGATTGTGTTCGTTTTGTTTGCTGCTGAATCCCCCAAACATAGCACACTTCCTGGCACAGCGGGGCTATCTAAGAATATTCCCTAAATGAATAAATAAATTGGACCCACACCTGTCCCATTATAAATTACCCAAGAGGATAGTCCCTACCTCACCTCTTCACTACTAGAAGATTGTACCTTTATGCAGAAATGCCTAGATACTCACTCCCAGCCCTGAAGTGGAGGGGCCTGTTCCCAGGGAGGTCATAGGAAGGAAAACACCCCCCTTCCCCGCTCCACATTCCACAGTCTGCTGAGGGGCATCCCTGCAGTGGGCCCCGTAACTGTGGGCTGCCTCCCGAGCCACCTGCTGTCTTCCTACCTGGATTTGTAGGTGGTCTGCATGTCCTTATAAAAGGCAGAATCGCTCTTGGTTTGTTTGAACACTGACAAGATGCTGCAAAACAAGATGAGTTTTTAAACAAGGCCTTGAATACAGGATGCTCCTGAAGTGGTAAATTTCTGTGGGAGGATGGAAAATTCTCTTCCTACAGCAGGGATCTTACACTCTACCAGGCATGGAAATCATCTGGGGAGGTTGCTAAGAATATAGATTCCTGGGGCACATTTCCTGAGATTTGAATTCATTGGGCCTGGATGGGGGCCTCAGAAACTGTATTTAAAACCACTCTGCCCACTCCCCCCTCTCCGAATTTCTCAGGCTACTGTGAAATAAATGCCCACTTAGAGCACTTGTTAAAAGATACAGCTGCCTCGAGAGATTCTGACTTAGCAGGTCTGAGATAAAAAAAATCCCCAAATTTCTTGTTTTTTACAAGTACCCTAAGCTGCTTCTTATCTTTAGAGTTCCTTCTTGAGGATTTTAAGGAAAGTCCATCTTTTTAGATAACGAGGTGGTAGTCTGGCCTTGAGGCTGGAGGGCTGGATGGCCAGGCTTGGAGGGGGTTCCTAAAATCCCCGGAATTTAATGTCAGCCTGTTGGAAGCAGATTTGGGATCTGAAGTGAGAAAGGAATCCAGATTCTAAAGTGAGGGAGCCAAAGAGAATCTGCACCTCTTCCTAACTGTGTCTGCAGCTCTGTGTGGAAGTGTCCATGTCTGCTGCCTTAGCCAGAGATTAGGGAGCTCTGTCGGAGGAATTCATGAGAAAAGGGAAATTTCAACAGGTTTCTGCTCTGTAACGTGGTTGTCTTATCATTAAAGCGAATGCATAGTCCACGTGATGGGTCGCGTGAGAACCTGGGTCTAGTGTGGTTTTGTCTTTGAAGACCTCGTGGAAGTCACACTTTGCCGCTCTTTGCTCTCTGTGAGGCAGGAGTGATGGGAATCGTGAATGGACCTGACTCAGCAAGATGCTGTGGCGATTCCATGGGGCACTGTGTGTGACCCTCCGCCCACCATCCCCAGGCCATTTATTGACTGCTTATCACGTACCAGGCACACGCTAAATGTTAAGTAAATGCATTATCTAGCTAAATGCTTGAAGCGACTCACTGAAGTGGATGCTATTTCTCTAACATTTGTAGTACTTTATGAAGATAACATTTAATTCTTACACAACTCTTTGGGACAGGGGGCTCATTATCAACGAGCCTTATTTTCCAGAATTGTAATCAGGCTCAGAGAGGTGAAGCAACTTGCCCAACATCACACAGCAATTAATCAGGCGACTAGAGATTGGCCCTAGCCTAGTTGGTTCCAAATTCCAATGTTCTGGCGCTAGGCAATCTCGTTTTATAGACAAGAAAATAGGCTTAGAGAAAGGCTAAGTGACTTGTCCAAGGGCATTGGGTTTTGGACTCACACCAGGCTGACTCCAAAGCGAGTGCTCATGCTGTGAGTTCTTACAAAGGGAGGAGCCTCACTGAGCTGCTGTGTCATCACGCTCTGTCTCTCTCGCTTACAAATCAGGCACCACACTGGGGGCCGTATGGGCCAACATTGCCACTTTCTGGAGCTGCCCCTCGGAGAGCTGAGGTAGCAGCAGACAAATTCGTCACCCACAAGCAGGGGTGTGGCGTGCTCCTTGTGGAAGTGTGCAGTGAACTGTAATGATGGCAATAACAATAACTAATAAGTCATAGACAGCATCCCGGTAGGCTAACGGCGATGATGAACTTCTTCTAATGCCTCATTTATTTCCAGGAAGTAATTTGCTTACTCAGAGGGACCTATACTTGGGAAGGAACCCTGGCTCTAGGCTGCCTGCTCTCTGGGGCTTTCAGGGGCCAGAAGTCTGGGGGATGAGGCATTCCACCAGAAGGGGGAGGTCCAGGTTCAACTCTGACACCACCTCCTTAGGAGCTGGTACCATTGATGGCGGGCATGAAACTACAAAGGATTCCTGTTGCCCTTAGGATAACAGCCAGAATCCTTGGGCTTCACTCCACTTTGGCTGCATTCCATGTCCCTGGTCCCTCTGACCATGTCTGCCGCATGTGCTGTCTGTAACACTTCCCTCTCCCCCAACCCCTGTCTCCCCCTTTTCTGCCCTCCTCTCCCAAGACTTTGTCAGGATGGCTCATTCTCATACTTCATCCAAATCACAGCTGGACGTATTTTCCTTGGAGGAAACTTCTCTGATCCGCATCCCCATCCTAGACCGAGTCAAATACAGTTATTATTTGTTCTCATAGTTCTGAGTTTCCTTTCATGACACTTCTCACAAAAATAATTAGTACCCAGCCCATACACATTCACAACTACTCACCAATATAATGAATGAATGGCCATCGCATTCCTGAGAGGCAGCAGGCAGAATGGTGGAGAGAATTGTTTTTGGAATGAGGAATATCTGGGTTTGAGTCGTGGCTTTACCATTCACTAGCTTGGACAGGTCCCCTGGCCTCTCTGACCCTCATTTTTTCTTTTTTTTTTTTGAGATAGAGTCTCAAGCTGTTGCCCTGGGTGCCGTGGCATCATAGTTCACAGCAACCCCCAACTTGGGCTCAAGTGATCTTCTTGCCTCAGTTTTTCTATTTTCTTTTCTTTTCTTTTTTTTTTTTTTTTAGTAGAGATGGGTCTTGCTTTTTGCTCAGGCTGGTCTCGAACTCGTAAGCTCAGGCAGTCCACCTGCCTTGGCCTCGCAGAGTGCTAGGATTACAGGCCTGACCTACTGCGCCCCGCTCCATTTTGTTATTTGTAAAATAAAGATATCAGTACCTACGTTGTGGGGTTATTGAAAGAACTGAGGCAGGTGGTACACAGCTCAGTGTTTGTCACAAAGAAAATGCTCAGTAACTGGCAACTGCTATTGTTAATATTATTGCTATTATTTGCCCCAGGAGTAAAGAAAACGTACCTGGGTGCCTTCCTCTGCATCCCATTTTCCAGCATGATGGTCCTCCGGGCATCTTCTCGAACCATTTCCAGGAGCTTCTGCAGATCTGATGGGAATATGAGAGGTCACCATTGACCAGAGGACACCCTTGAGACAGGATTGTGCAGGGTGGGGCCCAGCCTCCAAGCTGGGATCGCCTCTGCTTCTGAGTGTGGGGGGATCTCGAGAGGGATTCCACCTGGGTCCAGCAGCAGCATCTCCAGGCATTTAGTGTGCTGTGAATCTGACCAAGCTACTTGTCTCCTTAAAAGCCTCTCAGTGACTCTCCATTTTTCTTTTGATGACATCTACGTTCTTCTACATGGCCTAGGACGCCGTCCAGGATCTAGCTGCCCTTTTTTATCTCCTGTTTCATCTCGATTCCCTTCCCCCACCTTAGGCTCTACTGCAGCCAGAGAGAAATCATCTTGTTCAGGAAACCCTCTCTGATCTCCACAGGCTGGAATTTCTAAACCGGCAATCCATAGGCTGAATCACCTTACAACTGTGTTTTATCTGATTCAAGGTGGATGGCAGACTCTTAAAACTGGAAGGTTTCTCATAAAAATCTCGACCTCCAGCTTCCCTAGAAAGAAGTCTGAGACGGGACTGCAGAGCCCTCATTGCTGCTGCCTGCGGGTGGCACCTTGGACAGACAGACGTGTGCTCTCCAGCTCCCCTTGGCTCCCACCACACCTCTTTGCATTAGCGAACTTTGATTTTCATGCTTAATACATATGTAGTACTACTGATTTTTATACAGTATAGAAATATTTCTTCATACCTGTTGTGGACTGAATCATGTCCCAACCCCCCTGCCCCCCAGAAAAAAAGATATGTTGAAGTTTTCATTCTCAGTCCCTCAGGATATGACCTTATTTGGAAATAGGCTGGCTGCAGATGTTATCACAGCCACCTAACCATGGGGATATGTTCTGTGGGATGCACTGATAGGTGATTCTGTCGTTGTGTGCACATCAGAGAGGTATTTACACAAACCTAGATGGCAGAGCCGCCTATGTATCTAGGCTGTCTGGTACAGCCTGATAATCTTAGGCTATAAACCAGCATGTTATTACACTGAATACTGTAGGCGCTAGAAACATCCTGGTGAGTATTGGTGTACCTAAACATACTGGAACATAGAAAAGGTACAGTGAACATATGATGTAAGAGATAAAAATGGTGTACCCGTGTAAGGCACTTACCATGGATGGGGCTTGCAGGACTGGAATTGGTCTGGGCGAGTCAGTGAGCGAGTGGTGAGTGGAGGCCCAGGACATCACACTACTGTAGACTTTCTTAACAGTTAGGCTACACTGAGTTTATAGGAAAATGTTTCTTTCTTTAATAAAATTGAACTTAGTTTATCATGACCTTTTTCTCTATAAACTTTTTAATTCTTTTGTAATAATACGTAGCTTAAAACACAAATATGTTATACAAATGTCCAGACATATTTCTGTCTTTATATTCTTATTTTATAAGATTTTTTACTAACCTTTTTTTGTCTTTACTTTCAAAGCATTTTTGTTAAAAATGAAGTCACAAACACAACAGTAGCCTAGGCCTACACAGAGTCAGGATCATCAGTTTTGCTGTCTTTCACCTCCACATCCTGTCCTGCTGGAAGGTCTTCAGGGGTAATGAAACGCACAGAGCTGTCACCTCCTATGCTAACAAGGCCTTCTTTTGGAATATCTCCCGAAGGACCTTCCTGAGGCTGTTTTACAGTTAATAGATTTTTTTTATATAAGTAGAAGAAACACACTTTAAAATAATGATAAAATATATAGTAGTGTAAATATGCAAACCGGTACATTAGCTGTTTATTATTGCTGTCAAGCACAGTACTCTGTACTGCATATAATGGCATGTGCTGTACTTTTTATAGTGCAGGTTTGTTTATGCCAACATCACCACGCACAGGGGAGTAATGCATTGCACAATGTTATGATGGCTATGACATCACTAGGTGACAGGAATTTTTCAGCTGTACTGTGGTATGTGTGGTTCATTGTTGGGGCACATGACTGAATTCACACTGGAGTAGGGTGGACTGTCAATGCAAAATGTCCAGTGACCTTGTAAATGAGAGGAGGGAGACAAACAGGGAGAATGCGGCTACATGATGACAGAGGCAGAGACTGGAGTGATGCATCTGCAGGCCAAGGGTTTCCAGCACCCCCCAGAAAAGGCAAGGAAGGATTCTCCCCTGTGGATTTCGCAAGGAGCACGACCCTACTGACACATTGATTTTGAATGTCTGACATCCAGAAATGTGAGAAAATAAATTTCTGTTGTTTGAACCACTGTTATAGTGTCCCTAGGAAACTAGTACACCGACATTCTCACAAATTGGAAAAAGAAACATTAAAAGGTATAAGCTATGTGCTTCAAGAAAAGTAGAGGAGAGGAAGTGAATATCCTGTTTTGTATGGATGAAGATTTACAAAGCCCTGCCCCAGATTCCCTTCACTTGTTTGCACTCATGCTTGGAAGTGCCCAAGCTTTCAATCTGATACAAAACCATGGGTTTTGGGACAGCCTTTCCCTGGAGCTGTCCATGGTGCTGAGACATCACAGTGTGAGGTTGTTAGTTGGTGACCGTGACTCTTCTGGAATTTCTTCTCAGATTTATGGACAAGAAGAGAGAAGAGACTCAGAGCGAGAAGAGGAGGAAATAGACAGAGAGCCACTGGAGGATCAGAGACATCCCAAGAAATAAGAAAAGTAAAACTTTTGTGATGGCTTTCAAATAATTCCAGGAACCAAGAAGAAAACGACAATGGGCAATTAATTACTGGAACTTGAGTGACTGAAGGACGAGTTTTAAAAACGCGTTCTTAGCAGCACAGCCTGTTTGCATCCCCAAATGCACAAACATGCTATGTGAATGTCTCCACTGAGTAAAAATGACTTTTGATTTTTATGTTCTATTTTGATGAAAAATATTGGTGACGTTTGCACTGTCTCGGAACAGACAGTAGAGTGGCGGATGTTGGTTTCACGTACTCTTGACAGATGTATCATGTTTTCTTCCCTCCTCTAGCATTCTGGAAGCACATTGTCTTCCTCCCTCCATGTACCACACCTGGCAAGGTGCCTACCTGTGGTCGCCTATAGCACACTGTCCTCCTGACTTCTATCACAGCACTGATTTCATGGTATGCTGACTGCCCATTCCCCTGTGAGCCTTCCCCTCTAGGCTTTGAGTCCCTTGAAGTCAGGAGCCACATTTTATTTGTCTTTCTATTGATAGAAGTTGGACACATGCTTAGCACATGGGGTCTCAGTCACTAGTGGCTGAATGAACAGGAAAGAAGAATTCTGGAGACTATGAAATAGATTTGGGTACAAATGAATGTCCACAATGCCAGTGAAGACACTTCACTCCTTAGTAGGTGCCTGTAGTCAGTTTGAAGTCATCTCAAAAGCTATATGTGGAAGAGAAGGCAAGCCCAGGGCTTCCCAAGGCCATTTGTGTCCAGTCTTGTTTATGAATGCAATCACTGGGTGGTAGGGAAAGAGTGCTTTTGCTTAATGACTTTAGTGCCAGCTAGGCTGTGATAAATGTCGACATTAAAGCAGTTTCCACTCCACTTCCTCGTTCTCAGGTAGTTTATCTTCCTAGTAATTTGCGGACATGATTCCATTTGACCTGGACACGACCTTCATTTTTGTCTTGTCATGTCCACCTGCCCATTCAGCCACACATCTCTGAATCCTTTGGGTATGTCCAGAAACTCATTACTGAGGGAGCTGTGATTGGTTTTTTCCCTTCCTTCCCTTCTCCTGGGAACCAAGAAGCAACCTCTGACTGCTCCCACCCAAAAACAAACCCACCCAGGGTTGGGTGGACACCAGCAAATGACCCCAGTGACCTGGTATATTGGGAAGCACTGTTAGAGAATAATGGGAATTATATACAAAGCTCCATCCTCACTTAATGCACCACATATATTTCTTTTTCTGCTTGCCAAATGCCTCTGGGCAGGAATGGTACCCACGAATATGAAGGTCCATCCATCATGTAACTGAGCTTGGATATGTGTGAAATAGAACAAAGCTTTGGGACTCCTCAAGGTTACCAAAACCAAATGACTTGTTTGGAAAATGGAGTTTCCCTGGGGAAGACAGTCCTGTGACGGATGTCCATATGCAGAGAAACCTGTTCAGCTCTCAGTTCCCAGACTGCAGGGATGTCATCATCCATGGCTCCGAAACAGTGGTGTCCTATGGTCTTAAATGCCAAATAACATTCCCAGGAGAAAAATTCTGTCTTCCTTTTTCTGAAGAATCTCACTCTCAAATGACTAAGCTCATTTCTTCCACTTTTGGGGGAAAATATAGGAGGTATTTTATTTTTTTTGGTATGGAGTTGGTTTGAGGAGGAACATTAGATGGCATAGGACCCATATTTTGAATTGATATTTAATCTTTGAGATCAGCAGAGGGAATAGCCTGTGCTTTGGTTTCTTGGGAATACTACTGTCATTGATTTGGGGAGGAGAATCATTTCATGGAGAGGTCACAACCTGCTGTCATCAGTGTTTGCATCCGCAATGACTTCTTTATGCAGCCAGCCCTGGAAATTAGATCTCTTGATGTGTCTTTCAGAATAGGATTCACGAATTCAGAATCAATTTGGGGAGGTTTTAGAAGGCAATGAGAGGCTGGGAAATTAATCTACTTTTGTCAAGGCTGTGACAAATGGGATGGAGACTAAGGTGTGACTGGAGGAAAAGGATGGAGAGGCTAAAGTGGAGAACTTTCTCTCCCAGGGGTAGATTTCCAGTGGAAATGCATTTCTCAGCCATTTTGTGTACTTATTGTGTGCCAGGCTGAAGGAGCATGAGACATGATTATTCCCCACTTGCAGGGAACTCACATCCCTTTCCCTCTTCTTCCTTAGTAATAAAACTATGATTCTTTTTGTGTATATGAGGGGACACATTTATATGCTCATTTTCCTAACATCCTTTGCAGCTGGGCGTGACCTTGTGACTAAGTTCTGGGCAATGAGATTTCAGTAGAAGCTTAGGGTGTCACTTCTGAGAGGGATTC